TCAAAGCACCCTTGACAGATGGCCATCCAGCCTTAATAGTACAACAACAACAAAAACAATAATAATAATGAGAGTTTTCACCTCTTGGCCCAGGAAGGCAGGACGGGAAGGCAGGCAGGCAGGTCGCTGAGCTGAGGTCCTCCTTCACTGCACTCCGTTGGGGCCCAGCTGGGCCCAGGAAGGACAGAAGCAGCGTGAGGAAGGAGCCTGCTTCTGGCAAAGCTGCTTCAGCCCACATGGCTGCCTCCGGCCTCACAGCCAGCCGTGCTCCCAGGCAGGGCTTGGGCCCTGCAGGGAACGTTTTGGCCTACTGGTCCCTCCCTCGAGCCCGGCGGGAAGCACGAGGAGGCCAAATCCTGCTCCCAGGCAGGGCTTGGGCCCTGCCGGGAGCATTTTGGCCAGCTGGCGCTTCCCCCCAAGCCCGGCGGGAAGCGCGGGGAGGCCAAATCCCACTCCCAGGCAGGGCTTGGGCCCTGCGGGGAGCATTTTGGCCTCCTCGCGCTTCCCGCCGGGCTCGGGGGGAGGCGCGAGGAGGCCAAGCCGTGCTCCCAGGCAGGCCCTGGGCCCTGCGGGGAGCATTTTGGCCTCCTCGCGCTTCCCGCCGGGCTCGGGGGGAGGCGCGGGAAACGTGAGCCATCCACCCTGTGGGGAGCCATTTTGATGAGGGGGCGGGGCCAACGGAGACTGCCTCGCGACCCCTCGAAAATGGCCAGGCGACCCCCCGGGGGGTCGCGACCCCCAGGTTGAGAACCGCTGCTCTAGACTATCTATCGATCGATCTATCTATCTATAAACACACACACACACATATGCTTTGGAAGGGTTAAACCCCTTGTGGTGTTAATCTGTGCCCCTGTTCAGAAGATTTCACCTCACTTTTTTTTTTATTTGTGTCAGGAGCAACTTGAGAAACTGTAAGTTGCTCCTCGTGTGAGAAAATTGGCTGTCTGCAAGGATGTTGCCTAAGGGACGCCCGGATATTTTGACATTGTAGAAACAAGGATTGGAGATAAAGCTTCAGTGGAAACATCTTTTCCCCACGATCATTCTTTTGGGAGTTAATCTCCTCACTTCCTGTTGTCTCACCTCTGCTCTTAACTATAAGTCATCAAGTCAGATGTTTGTAATTCTGGAACTGCCTGTATGTGTCCAAAATCATCACTGCAAATAACAATAAACCCCCCATAAGTTTACAAACTCTTGGCATGCCTAGCTGATCAGGTACAACTAGATGGGAAAACCAAATCTGAGAGCTATTTTGTTCAAGATCAACTTGTCAATTTGGGGCAGTAGGAAAAAGGGGAGGGATGTTACCTTTTCCAGACCAGCTTCCAGTGGAAGAAGCTGAATGCAAACCTGCACGTTGCACAGATCTCTTTCCTAGGAAGTCTGCAGGAATCAAGTGGAGCAGAAAGCCATCTGTTCGACCAGAACAACCACCCTGTGAGTAGAAATACAGTATAGGCCGTTACCCCAGTGATGAGAACTAACCCCTCCAACACACTACTCAAGTCTTTCAGACTTGATTGTGTCTACCCCTCTCTAAAGAGGTCTTCCTTTTTTCATACTGACTTCTACTTATCTAAGTAATAATATCATTTCAAGGGAGTCATGTCTTCCCATGCTGTGTCAAAGTTATGATAGTCTTGGTTTAGGCTTGATCTACGCTACCATATAATCCAGATCATCTGCTTTGAACTGGATTATGAGGCTACACTGCCATATAATCCAATTCAAAGCTGATAATCTGATATCAGAAACTGGATTACATGGCAGTGTAGATTTTGCATTGGGTCCTTCCACATAGCCATATAACCCACAATATCAAGGCAGATAATCCACAATATCTGCTTTGAAATTGGTTATTTGAGTTGACACATGGGGCTGCCTTTGAAGACTGTTTGGAAGCTCCAAGTAGTTCAATGGGTCACAGCCAGATTCCTCACTGGAGCTGTATACAGGGAGCACACAACTCCATTACGTCAGCTCCACTAGCTGTCAGTTTGCCATCAGGCTCAATTCAAAGTGCTGGCTTTGGCCTATAAAGCCCTACACAGTTCTGGCCCAACTTACCTGTCTGAACGTATCTTCCTCTATGAGCCAGTTAGAGCGTTAAGATCTGCTGGGCAGGCCCTACTCTTGGTTCCACCACCTTCGCAGGCATGACTGGTAGGAACGAGAGACAGGTCCTTCTCAGTGGTAGCCCCTCGGCTATGGAACTCCCTTCCCAGTGACATAAGACTAGCCCCTCCCTCCTGGTCTTTATACACAAGTGTTCAGAGAATAGTGCAATATGGAATCCAACTTGAATGTAGCAGCTTGAATAAGGACTATGAGTAGGCACTATGTTTTTAAACTTATTGTATTTAAATGTTATAACTGTTTTATAATTCTAGATGTAATATTTGTTTATTTATATGTATAATGCGGCATTGAATTTTGTCATAATCTGTAAGCTGCTGTGGTTCCTTTTGGGGCAAGAAGAGTGGGGTATAAATATAGGAAACTAGCTGTCCCCTGCCACACATTGCTGTGGCCCAGTCTGTTGATCTGGAAAATAAAGTAATGAGAAAGTGTTGGTTTCTAATATATGTAATTTCTTTATGCTTGTGGGTAAACAGTATTTCTTGCTGTTTCTTTGTCAGTGTTGATGTGGAGAGTGTCTGGTTTGCCCACTCTGGAACATGCAACATATCATTGTCCTTCTTTAAGGGTCCCTTTCAAATCTATGATACTATATCTCTCTGTGTGTGTGAATCATATCTATCTGTCTATATTTATGACTGGATGTCTTTAAGGGTTCCTTTCTATGATACTATATCTCTCTGTGTGTGAATCATATCTATCTATCTATCTATCTATCTATATCTATCTATGGCTGGATGGCTCTTTGTCAGGAGGACTTTGATTATGTTTTCTTGCCCTGATGAAGGGAGTTGGATTGGATGGCCTTAAGTTGGATTGGATGGTTGGTCATGGGGGTTCTGTGTGGGAAGTTTGCCCCGATTCTGTCATTCGTGGGGTTCAGAATGCTCTTTGATTGTAGGTGAACTGTGAATCCCATTGACTACAACTCCCAAATGTCAACATCTATTTCCCCCAAACTCCATCTGTGTTCATATTTGGGCGTATTGAGTGCTTGTGCCAAGTTTGGTCCAGATCCATCATTGTTTGAATCCACAGTGTTCTCTGGATGGAGGTGAACTACAATTCCAAAAGTGAAGGTCAATGCCCACCAAACCCCCTCAGTATTTTCCGTTGGTCATGGGAGTTCTGTGTACCAAGTTTGGTTCAATTCCATTGTTGGTGGAGTTCAGAATGCTCTTTGATTGTAGGTGAACTATAAATCCCAGCAACTACAACTCCCAAATGAAAAAAAAATCATAATTTTTTGAGTCATGGTCACTCCTTGTGTTGTGAGATGCTTTGTTGCCAAATTTGGTGTGATTTCGTTCATTGGTTCTTTTGTTTTTAAGGTACTCATTATGACCAGAGCATTTATATATATATAGATAGATAGCCACTCTGAGTCCACTTTGGGGTGAGAAGATATAGGAAATAAGTAAATAAATATATATATATATATAAATAAAACCCAGTTCAATGTGGATTTTATATAACTGTGTGGAAGAGGCCTTAGTCATCTTGGCTTTTAGAAAGAGTTCAGATTTTATTTGTTTTAGGATTTGTTTTATTGCCCTTTTAGCAGTCTTTGTTAAACTCTTTTCCAGCACCTCAATTCAAGTGAGTTGATTCTCTTCCTATCTTTCTTCACTGTCTGGTTTTCACAATCATAGATCAAAATGGAAAATGCGATGGCATGGACAATAGTTTTTTATTGCAGAGAAACTGCACCTGTCCTTAAAAAGAGCCTCAGCCAAAACCGCAAACTGAACACTTAATTCTCTGATAAATGACAGAAAGTCAATAAAAGTAAACAATGAGTAACCTTCTGTTCCGAGTGGAACACGTTCGCTTGTTTTTCTTCTTCCGTACCCAGCCACAAACTATGCAACTCATCACGAGAAAAGGCAGAAAATGAGAGTAAGAAAAGAAGCCACAGAAATGGCTATATGTTTATAGGTTACACACAAACCAATCTACACAAACATAGCAATTTGGGAAGCAACATTACAATCAGCCTGTACACATAAGCATATACTGTAACTTTACTTAGAAGTGAATGTGCATGTGGCACTTGTAACCATATTTACACTTGAATGCACATGCTTTTGTGCACAAAATACTGTTTAAGTTGGGAAAAGGTTGTGGGAATGAAGTTATTATCATCTGTATTCTCATACCTGAAGAAAACAGCTGTAAATGCAAAGTTAAAGGTTTCCTCTTGATATTATGTCTAGTTGTGTCCGACTCTGGGTGGTGGTGCTCATTTCCATTTCTAAGCTGAAGAGCAGGTGTTATCCGTAGACACCTCCAAGGTCATGTGGCCAGCATGACTGCATGGAGCATCGTTGCCTTCCTGAAGAAGCAGTATCTATTGATCTATTCACATTTGCATGTTTTCAAACTGCTAGGTTGGCAGAAGCTGGGGCTAATAGCAGGAGCTCACCCTACTCCCTGGATTTGAACCACCAACCTTTTGTTCAGTAAGTTCAGTGGTTTAACCTGCTGCGCCACCGGAGGTCCAAAGCAGCTGTAGAAATGTTATAATTTATATATATATATAAATGTAATGTTCACTTGTGGGATTAACATAACTCAAAAACCACTGGACGAAATGACACCAAATTTGGACACAATACACCTCTTAGGCCAACAAGTGACCATAACTCATAAAAACACTGAAAAACACAGCAGAAGAGACTTAAAAAGCCAAAAAAACAAAAAAATGCATTACAACACATGCGCAAAACCACATATACACACAAACACACATATATACACACACAAAACATATACACAGACTGGACCACAGCAGCATATGGCAGGGGACAGCTAGTAATATATAATTACAATATTTATACATGTATACCTCAGAATATGGCATCATGAAAGAGAAAAATCAAAGAATAAATTGATTTGAGCCATCCGCATTTAATTCAGGGTAAGTTAAGTGTCCAACTTCATGGCATGTCTTCAGTGAGAATCTGTGAGAATAATATCCTTTCACCTGACATTCGTTTTCTTCCTGCTGATAATTTTATTTATTTATTTTATCCAAAAAATTGATTTATATATGGAAATAATAATTGTGCATTGGATTTTGCAAAAATAGATTTCTTGCGACAATCATATGCAGAACAAATATATATTTGTATATATTTTGTATAGATTGTCATGTGAAAATAACACCAACAGGATTGAAAGTGACCTCCCTTTTCTGGGTTCCTGCCTTCTCTACTTTGCTCTATGCTCTCTCCGTTCCTCTCTGTGAGTGGGCTTTCCCTTTCTCCATTGTCACCAACTGACCACACCCTAGATGGTGATTTATTCAGTGAGATATACCAGAATGCACATACACAGCACACATGCGGATACAGTCTGTTCCACCCATGCATTTTGATGGCAGTCTCTGCAACTGAGAGCCTTTTCAAAATGGCATTCTCCTCTGCAAGAAATGCCAGGGCTCTCCTCCCAGGCCCATTCCCTGAAACAGAAGGTGAATTCGGTGCAGTCAGCAGAAGCAGCAGCATTGCTGAAACGGATCCAGCAGCCTTCCTCCAGGCCTTATCTCTGTGACAGCAAGCTGTTCTCTTCCCCAAGAACTCCCTGTACTTTTGCTGTTTCAACAACACCCACAGACAGGTGCCAAAGGAGAAGATTCCCTCAATAAGCCAACCATTCGGCTGATGCCACATGAGACCTGAATGGCCCCATTCTTGGCGACTTCGTGGTGCCAAGAGGCAAACAGAGACTGATTATTGTGATGCAAAGGGCCTCTACTGAAATGGCATCTCCAACCCAAATGTAGATGTTGGCAGCTCTAAAAGAATATTTATTGCGATGGTCAGCCAGATAGTTCTCTCCAGATGTTTCTACAGAATTGCATTGCGCGCATTGCCTGGCATCCTGACATACAAAGGCGTGTTATCTGAAATAAGACCACCATCAATGCAGCTGCCAATCAAGTAGCCAAACATCCAAATAACAATGACAAACATGCAATATACAATATCTACAGTGCTTCCTTTACCTGTAAAATATTTGAAACAAGAAAAGCTGGATTCAACTGTTACACGACATTGACATAAAAAGCTAACAGTGTGCTCTCATGTTCTGTATTATTTATTCCCGGGCGCTAACTCTCGAAAAGCATTGCTTACACACTTTCCTAACCTCTCTGCAGTCTCAAAAGGCTAGAAACCTTTCATCTATCTATATCTTCTATATCGATAATAAAAGTGAAAATGTAGATGTATGTATATGTGTGGTTGGGGTGCCCACTTCCACAGACAGGCTCCCACTTCCACAAAACAGTTT